TCTTTCTTGTATAGTTCTTCTGTGTATTCTTGCCACCTCTTCTTAATCTCTTCTGCTTCTGTTAGGTCCCTGCCTTTTTTGTCCTTTATCATGCCCATCTTTACAATACTTGTTTTCTCTCTGCAGTGCTGAAATTGAGGTGAAGTAACTAGAACTTATACAAAAAGAACATTTCTACAACCATGCTTAACAAAAGATCTTTTGCGTCAGGTTTTTAGACAATAAAATATTTTCACTGGCTCCCAGGACTTTTTTAATTTGCCTTTGTTGTCTCCAATACCTTCCTCCTTATTTAAGGAGTTACAAACAGGAGCTATATGTGTACTCCAGCGCTCTGAAGCACCTTTGGCCCTTGCAGTCCAAAATGCTGCACCGCCTTAATAAATAATATCAGTATTATTAACATTTCAGAAGCCATTGCTTCCATATATTTGGTATCTTAAAGAACAGCTTTCTACAACCCAGTGCCCTCCAAAATTGTTAGGAATTCTTAGCAACACAAACGTTCTACAACATGAGTACCCCTGGTCCTATCCATTGTGCTTGTTTTGCTACTCTGTCTTCTTTCCAGATGTCTGATTGTCTTCTCTTTTGTTTCTAGTTGGATGCTGACAAAGATGAGGAAGAGGTGTTCCGCAACATAAGCCTGGCTGTTGACAACAAACTATTTCCCACTCAAGAACTAGTGCCAAGTGAGTTGATAATTTTTGTATTGCATGGGGAAAACAGGCCTAGCTTTGCTTCTATAAAATTGCATAGTTCTAAATCCTAATGATGATAATATATTAAAAAGATATTTCTAACAAAGTGAAATACCGGTAGTCCTTGTTTAGTGAGTGCCTCGTTTAGCAACCCTTCACAGTTACAATGGTGATGAAAAAGTAACTTTACAACCAATCCTCACATTTACCCCTGTGGGTCTGTAAAGCAAAGGAAAGCTGAAGTAAGATCATAAGCACAGTTGTGGTTTCACTTGGCAACCACTTCACTTAACAATTGAGTTGCCAGTCCCAATTGTGGTTGCTAAACAAGGACTACCTATAATAAACATTTGGAGTAATTCCACATGTATCATTCTGTATTTATTTCATGTACAGAACACTGCATATGGTGTTTTGGGCTATTTCACATATGATTTAAAATTTCTAAGTGAGAGTTAACGTACTATAAAGAGTACATTTTGTAAAGTATGTAGTGACCATAACGTGTAGTAATATTACACAATTGTTCCATGTATCCGTGGTCATCACACATTACGATCCACAAGCAACAGTCAAGTAACTTTGGTAGCATGAATTGTTTCTCTGTAGGATTTGAGGACGTGCAGGTAGCCCGTGTTCTCTCATCATGGGGCATCCCTTCGTACTTATTTTCTTTCTTTCAGAGTAACAAAATTTAAATGTGTAGAATGTGGGTGGTATGTGGTTTCATCACTCTTAACAAGACTGTCTGAGCTCTTTTTTTTAATTTCAAGCATAAATAAATAACTAAAGAGAAAAGCTGAACTGGGTTTTCAAAGGGAAATTATTTCATTTCTGACTTTTATCTTTTTAAATGTTTTATTCTGCACTAGCATTGTTTAAAACTGTAAGTCCCCTTGCATGTTCTTTCTGAACAGAAAGGCAGCCTAGGAATCTAAATCAAATCAATGAATAAGCAATACATTTGCATATTAGGGTGAGTAAAATTTTACAACTCAGTGAAAAGATGCAGAGGCAAGGGCCATTTGCTTCTAAGTTTGGAACTCATTCAGCCCCTAGTTACTCAAGAAACATCTTTTGAAGGGTCCTTCAACCCCTTTGCACACGCAGTAGGCTGAGAGAAAAGGGCCATCAGTGTCTGCAAGGGAGAAAAGTAGAATTTGGTCCCTGAAAAACCACACTTGCCCAATTCTCAGTGTTCATTAAAAAAACCAGAATGAGTCTCTATCAAGCAAAACGTACAATCATTCTGTCAGTCTGCCCATTTTGAAAGAATGTTTTGTTCCATTTTGTTCCTGCTTTTCAGTATTTTTAGCCAATGGATGAGCACTCATAGCAATGACTGACAGACTGGAGAAGAAAGGCCTTTTTAAAAATCTTCCCTCATGGGAAGTGATTGCTCTTGCCTAAAAAAACAGTACAGAAATTCAGTTTTAGTATAACTGTGATTGGGCACCCAGATGTCTACCCCATAACGAAAGAGATGAGCAACCACAAGAATCTGTAATATTTCTAATTCAAGGCTTATTTTTTTAAGAAGAGGCAGTATTCTGACTTTCTAATAGTGATAAACAATTACTCTGCCAGTTCATGCCGATAAAATCCATCATGGTTGCAAATAGCAGAAAAGGTTCTGCAAGATTATAAGCAGTCCAACGACGTCATCAGTCCCCTTGGGCCGTTGCCTGGATTTATTCATTTAGAGAACTGTAACAGGAGTTTCAATTGATTGTAGTAAGAACTGGGAGTTATTTAATGATTGGAAAGGTTTCCAGTGTATAGGTGAACAATCAAATCTGGGTAAACATTAAGCAAGGTGGCATTTCTCTTGCTTACTTGATTTCCCTCTTGTGATGTCATTACACAGATTAAACCATTCTTATTGATTTACGTCATTTGCTTAAGGGTACGATTATGCAGATGACACAATCTGCTGCCAATGATGTCATCTGCATCATTTTTATAATTACAACATTGCAAAAATAATTTCAATAACTGCAAATGACATAATTTGTGATTTAACAGACATTCAGGAATAACAAACATTCTTCCCAATTTGTCTGTTAACTTAAGGTTTTACTCTGTGTTTCCTAGAGAGCAGAGGCCGGAGCTAAGTTGAAAGCTAGATCAAATGGTCTTATGTAATGTTTTGTTCCATTTTGTTCCTGCTTCCTGGAAGAAGCCAAGAAAAGTATTTAGATTAATATCCTGCCATTCCCCCCATAATAATATTAATTATGATTAAGCATTTCTTGAATCTCCTTTTGACTGATCGGGAGCACCTTTCTTTAATCTACATTAAGCATCAGTTGATTTTTCTTCATCCACTCCCATGGTTGACAGCAAACGGTATTTTGGAGCTACAGCAATTTCCTTCGGTTTCAATCTTTTACAATCCCATGTTTACCCCCTGAAAAAGGAAAGAGAGATACACACAATATATCAATTTTTCAAAGTTAGTCCTATCTCTCCTGATAGAGTTACTGCCTAGGCTGGCCAGTCATTATAATTACTAGAAATAGTGCTCTTTTTCTGGACATTTGGTTTTCCTTATATTAAATGTGCAGAAGTAACCAGAAGTAAAAGGTGCAGGAACAAGAACATAATGGTGCAGTAAAAAGTAAAGTCATGCAAAAGTTGTACTAAAAATGCCAAGTAAGTTCCAACATTTGGCTCAATATTTCCATTTCTCCCCATCCCCATTGGAAAAGACATTCCACCCAGACTCCAATGCTGCTCTCTGCAGAATGCACACCAGGGTTCCCAAGATGAAAGGAAGATCTGTTATTCAGTAGAAGGGCCTCTGCTTGTCCATGGAAGGAATGATCATTAGCCTCTCCACATAGGGCTAGGAAGGGCTGAAACTCCGGTGAGCTGATGTTATTTAGTATACTGATTTAGATGGACAAGCATCTGCTTCAGTATAAAGGCAGTGTCTTCTGTTGCTGTTCTAGAACATAGGACCCTTTCCTGGATACATCAAGCAACATCATTACATTCATGAAAAAGATGGTGTTGCCAAAAAACAAAACAAAACAATAACACGTGTATGAGAAAAATGCAGATGTCGCATGTACAAATTATGATCTCATCCTATTCTGTGTGTTTGCAGCTCCACTGGAAAATTCCTGCAAATGTCCATGAGTTGGAAGAATACCAGTATTTTAACCAAACATTCTCAATTATCAGCTAAAGTGTATTGACTATTTTTTGCAGTATTTCCAATCAGATCCAAATTCCTATTATCGAACAAATATTCTTGTCCTGCGTTAGTAATGAAAGCTGGCTGGGTGACTTTGGGCCAGTCACTCTCTCTGAGCCCAACTCACCTCATAGGACTGTTGTTGTGGGGAAAATAGGAGGAGGAAGTTATTTATAAAAATAATGAAGTCTGGATGGATGGATGGATGGATGGATGGATGGATGGATGGATGGATAGATAGATAGATAGATAGATAGATAGATAGATAGATAGATAGATAGATAGATAGATATAAACATTCACACATCGGTCTATACCTGTAAGTCTTTTATCCTGTACTCTCATGGGAATAAGAAATGCTGGATTCAGTGGGATTTACTTCTGATGGGCAAGTATAAGATTGGACTGTAAGAGTCTCTTCAACTTACATTCCAATAATGGTTAGAAAAAGAAGCAAAATCTAGAGTACAATTTTCAGCCTTTGTGGGCAGCAATATATTTGTATGCATGATTGCTTCCTACCTGTTGCTAAGAGCAACAACTTGTCTTGAAATTCTGTACTTCAGGGACTTGAGGCTCCTTTTTTTATAGGAGAAATAACGGAAAGCAAAAACAAGATTCAATTTTATCTTCCTGAAGCCTGTCCTTAATCAGTTGTTTACTTAACAAGAAAGTGTTTACTCTCCCCTTAAATTGGACTTCTCAGCATGCTGTGCTTATAAATAATACAAAACTTTTTGAACTGTTTCTGTGGATCTTACCAGATCATAAAATGATGTATGAAGAAAAAGTCTTTC